GACCGCTGACTGGTCGCTGCGGGGGGGGGTGCACATGCCCCCGCCCCCCTGACTAAGGTGGCACCAGTTGCCCATGTAACCTTATGTTCTCTTACAGGTTGTGACAGGTTTCTGATCATTTATACCAGTTTGTGTAATTTCTGTACCTAGCCTTAAGCACATTATACAGAACTAGGAATGCTTTCTTCAGTTGAGGCCTGAGCTTGAAATTTTTCTTTCAGGTTAAACGTTGTTAACAAGCAAATCCTTTTCTATATGTATTAAATATGTTTGTGAGCTAAACAGTCTCTTTCACCCAGTTCTCTATAAACTGTCTTGTTAAATGTCTCTATAAGATTTCTCAAATACTGTGCGTTTCCCCCCTCCTTCCCCCCTCTGCCCCCCCCAATTGAATTGTAAGTTACTTGAGGCAGGAATCCTGTCATATTACATACTAACCTTTAAATAGATATCACATTTCACATCTCTCTGGATACATAGATTGCAATTTTAAAATGAGGATGTGTTAACTGACATAATGCATAATATTATACCTTTCATAGCAGCTAATGAAGTGAGCTTAAATTCATAAAAGTTTATATTCTTTTTATATTAGTCTGTAAGCTGCATATCTACCTTGCATAATGCATATAACTTCATAGAATATTGTAGCAACTAATGTTTAGCTGCTGTTTTTAATGCTCTACCATTAGCTAGTGTAATAAATCATGCAGTGTCCAGTGCTGCTTATTGCATCAACCAAGATATTTAATTTATGCCCCTGTTGTATATATGCATGCATCTATTGTTTTACAATCTCATGTACCAGCTTGTATGCAAATACTGTTAAAAACATATTTTTGCTGGGCGAAGGTAGTTTTTCTCTAGTTACAGTAGTTAACTCCAGTTAGAGAAGTGAGTTTTTGGAGGTAATTGGTTTAAGGAACAAGGAAATATGAAATTTCCATTCAGGATAATCTGCTTTGAACCTAGTCATTAATACGATTCAAGAACAACTGTCGCTTAGCTTGCCTTTCATCAATATTTAATAATAGGAACCTACGTTTGATGTTTTAAGACTATACTTTTTTATCCTTTCTTTCCGTTTGAATTAAATAAAATGTAAAATATACCCAATTTAGCTGTATTTATTATTATTCATATCACAGTACCATTCAGTTATCCCTATTGAAATTTTATGAACTAATTTGAAGCAAGGTTCAATAAGTACATATAAGAAATCAAAGGAGAGAGCATGTAAGTAATGAAGTTAATTTTACATCATCGTGTCATTGGTTAAGATTATTAATTATGAATCTGGATTTTTGTGTCAGCTTGATGTGGTTGATTTTGATATGCAGTGTGACTACACAAATATGAGAAGTCAGATTATGTAATATTGCTCTCTCTGCCTAATGCTGGCCATTACAGAAAAGTATTTTGAATGTCAACTATCGCACACTTGGATTACAAGTGGAGTAGGAATAAACCATGGGGTACTGAAGCAATTATTCCTCTAAACGTTGGCTCCCTAAAATATTCTGATTTCTTGCGGAAAAATTTGTTTTTAGTTTGGTTTTTGAAAAATTTTTGAAGGATTTTGTGAAGTCCTTCACAGCAGCCTTCC